GCTGCTGCTGCTCCTGCTGCAGCCGCCCCTGCAGCAGCCTGCTGCCCCTCTGCTGCTCCCTTCTTCGCCTTGTTTCTTATCACTGCTGCTTCTGCTGTTGCTGCTACATTCAAACTGGCAGCACCCCTCAGCTCCTCCAGCAAAGCCACAATGTTCAGGCCGTGCACAGAGGCAAATTTCTCCAGTTCAGTGCGTCGGTAGCTGCAGCAGCAACAGCAGCAACAGCAGCAGCAGCAGCAGCAATAGTGTCAGCAGCACGTGAGGCAGCAGCAGCAGATGTGTTGCGCGCAGCAGCTACAGTTGCTGCGTCCAGCGGCATCCACGGCAAACTACAGCACTAACGGCACGTGTAGCAGCAGAAGAACGAGCCGTTCCTGCTGCTGTTGCTGCTGCTGCTGCTGCTTACTTCCGCTTTCTCAACTCCTGCTCTCCATGCGCATGACGGCAACTCTCTCCTGCGGGGCAGACGCCTCCGCGCACCCAGAACTTGCACAACTTTGTCTGCAGCAGCAGCAGCAGCAGCAGCAATCGCAGCAGCAGTTTAGAGAGCAGCCCAGAGCTGCAGCAACAGCAGCAGCTGCTGCACATCGCTGCACTTCGGATGCGCACACAGCAGCAGCAGCAAAAGCCGCAGAAGCAGAAAGTACTCGGAACTACACCAGCTAAAGCACAAACCCAGCAGCTCCAGCAGCAACAGCAACGGCAGCAGCAGCAACGGCAGCAACAGCAGCAAAAGAAGACGTGCTTTGTAATAGTCGCTCGTGCTGCGCAGCTCTGCCTCGCCGTGGGCGAAAAGACACGAGCCGTCTGTAGCTGGGCAAGTTCCCTGAAGCACCAAAGCCCTAAACCCTAAACCCTAAACCCTAAACCCTAAACCCTAGGCGGTAAAGGCGCGCGCTGTATCCCAAGATCTGCACCCCCTGGGAGGGTTTAGGGTTTCCGGTGTGCGGCGCGCGTTCGGCCGCCTCCGTGCACCGGCCCTAGGGTTTAGAATCTAGGGTTTAGGGTTTAGGGTTTAGGGTTTAGGGTTTAGGGTTTGGCATACCGCCTGCCAGTGCACACACATCTTGGTTTTGGTCAGCGCCGGAGGCTCCCGCAGCTCCTCCTCGCTGTGGGCGTAGCTGCAGGTGTGGCTTTTGCTGCAGCTGCCGTTCAAGAAGTTCTGGCACATCTTGATGCTGCAGCAGCAGCAGCAGCAGCAGCAGCAGCAGCAGAAAAGATCGATTAACTGTTTGTGGTTCTTGTTTTTAATTGCTATTCGTTCAATACTTAAACCCCAAACGCCGAGAAGGAGCAAGACGCACGAAGAACGGGTTCCCAAACCCTAAACCCTAAACCCTAAACCCTAAACCCTAAGCCCTAGATGCTCACCGGAAGAACTGGTCCTCCACTTGGTGGGGCTTCCGCTTAAGCATTGAATGCGTTGCGTCGCTTTGAGCTCTGGTGCGAGTTCTGCTGCTGCTGCTGCCGCCGTTGCTGCAGTTGCAGTTGCTGCTGCTGCTGTACCGAATATTGCTGTTGCTGCTGACTCTGTTTCTTGGCGGCCTCGTGCAGCGCCGTTTCCTCGCACTATTGCTGGCAGCAGGAGCAGCTGCTGCTGCTGTTGGCGCTGCAGCAGTAGCAGCAATCCCCTCTGCGAGAGTCCCCACCTTGTTGCTGCTCCCCATGCCGCCAGCTGCTGCAGCAGTTGCTGCTGCTACTCCCACTGCTGCTAAACTCTTGTGCTGCTGCCGCCGCTGCTGCCGATTATGGCGTTGCTGTCGCACCTGTACATTGGGCCCGGCCAGCTGCTCTGTCACAGGATCTTGCTGCTCGTGTTCTCCCTCATCTGGCTGCTGCAGCAGCAGCTGCTGCTGCTGCTGCCGCTGCTGCTGCTCTTCATCGAGGGCTTCAGAGCTGTCTGCTGCGGTCATAATGATGGTCGGGAGGGGTTCGTGCTGCAGCTGCTCCTCGTGCAGCTCCTGCAGCTCCTGCAGCGGCTGCAGCTGCTGCTGCTGCTGCTGCTGCTCCAGCGGCTGCTGCTGCTGCTGCTGCTGCAG